CTTACACAGCTTAGTCTGACTTGGCATGGATTCTTCCTGGAAACTTGGAAGCTTCTGCTCTTTGTTGCTGTGATCTTTTAAAGTAGTCATCTAGTCCATAGCATCTGGGACAGGGCTGGCTACCATAAGCATTTGAGTACCTGAGCTCACGAATTTATTCTGTGTTTCACAGACTATTTATTTTCCTAAAGGCAAGCTTCCATCCAGGTAAACATAATTGATGTTTCTTTTCTTTGCCGACATAATACCCTGTCATCTGTCACTACAATTCTTTGCATTCAGTTTCTAAAAATATTTTAAAATTAAGCAATACATTTTGACTTGAGAATTTACATATTAAAAGCCCAATCCAGATAAGTCAATTTAAATTTAGAGTTTAAAACACCAAAGAGTTTTTTGTTCTTGTTGTTTTGTTTTTGTTGCAAGCACTATGCTTTATTGCAGAAGCTCTGATGAACTTGTATTATAATTTCCAGAATATTTACTTATCCACAGGGAAGTCATCAAAGACATTGTTAAAAATTCTTTTGCTGCTTAATAGGTATAGTTCTTGGGATATTGAGTGTGGTTTGCCATTTTGTCCTCTTTGCTTGCATCTTTTTTAAAACCTGAACTCAAAACTTTGATATGGGGCTGCAACATGGGAGAATTTTATGGCCCCCATCTGTACCTATATTCCTATGATAAGTTCTTTTCCCATTTATTAGATCTGACTATGTTTAGATAGAATTCCTAAAGTGACACATGGAAACGAAATGTTTTTGAATAGGAAATCTCCTCAGCAGGTTCATGTGGAGAATTGGTCTGTAGTTGATGGCATTAATTTGAGAAACAGCTAGGATTGTAGACTATAGTGAATAAGGTGTAGCTAGAAGAAACAGGTTACAGAGAGCATGTCATGTCCTTAGACACTCCCTTGCCATAGCTGATCTCTTCTATTTCCCCCACCACTTCTAAGGCAGCAAGGAAGGAAACAGCTGTCTACCTCCATGCTCACTCCTCAACCATAATCTCCTGCTGTGTCTCAGGCTCAAAGCAGTGATCCAAACTTAAACTGAAATTTATAAAGATATGAGCTAAGATGATTTTTTTCTCTTTAAGTCACTTGGTACTTCTGTCACAATAGCAAAATAATATTAATAATGTAAGCATATGAGGTCATTAGAATAAGTTCCAATTTAGTATATTTGATGCTGTGAATAGAGGGGATTAGGACGGAGATACACAGAATGAAGAACATGTGTAGTAATTGGGAACAAGCCCCTTACATACTAGAAGCCTGAGAGAAGCCCTAGAAGAAACAAACCTTGCTGTCATCTTGAACTTTTGCATTCATTCTCCAGATGAGTAAATGAATAAATTATCTTCAGCTAATTTTTACGACAGCCATCGAACTCTAGTACATGACTCTGACCCTTTTATAGCTTATTTATCTTTAGGAAAATGTGTCTAAGCCTACATCCTTAATGCCATTCCTGGGTGAAAGTAAGAAAGCTGTGTGTGTGTGTGTGTGTGTGTGTGTGTGTGTGTGTACACTTTATACAATTTTGAAAATATTCTGAAGGTCTACTAAATTTTACATCATCATTTTGTAACATATTTTAATTTGGTTGCTTCATGTCTGGAAGCTACTTTGAGTCTCTAAGCACAGTACCTAAAGAGTAACAGCAGGGAAATCAGCATCACAGGCCAGACTCTTCCAGGTTTGAGGCCTATACATACTGCATTGTAGCTTTGAAGGTATAATCTATTTAAGGCAAAACCTTCTGATAGGCTTTGACACCAAATCAGGTTTGTATAACACTCAATATAATGGAGGACACATTTCAAAAGCTAAAACATATTTTTGTAATACAGATGGAAAGTCTTGGTAAAGTCTATCGTCTCCTCCATGTCAAACTATAGCTCCCACATTTTTCTCTGTTTGCTTTATATTTTAAGTGTGTTTGGAGTTAGTACAAACCGATTTAACATTCTATAAAATTTGGGTTGATATTTCCATTTATTTGATGTAAAAATTATTGTTTAAACTTGTTTAAAGTTTTGTTACATTTTTCCTCTATCAAATGTATGTTTTGTAATTGTTTTTTAAACCCTAGGATGAAATATGAAAAACTTTCTTTAATTCAGATTTCATATTTTTGGCTATTTTGAATAATGATGCTATAAACATAGTTGAACAAATGTCCTTGTATGAATGTTCATCCTTTAGGTATATGCCTAAGTGTGGAATTGCTAGATCTCGAGGTCGACTGATTCCCATTTTCCTGAGAAACAGCCTTACTGATTTCCAAAGTGGCTGTACAAGTTTGCATTCCCCCCAGCAGTGGAGGAGTGATCCCCTTTCTCCACATCCTCTCCATCATAAATTGCTCTTGGTATTTTGATTTTAGCCATTCTGACAAGTATAAGATATTATGTCAAAGTTGTGTTGATCTTCATCTCCCTGATGGCTAATGATGTGAACATGGAAGCAATCTACATGGCCCTCAAATGAAGAATAGATACAGAAAATGTGGTATGTAGGAGAAGCTGTAGCCACGCCTACTTAGGGGCTGGCTACAGGTGTGTCTGACCATGCCTTCGAGGTCAGAGTGAGGTAGAGTGAGAGGCAGTCAGGTGGCTGGTCACTTTCAGTTTCCCTTTGACTTGCTGGACAGACTGCTGTTGCACCGGCTGGCTAGGTCACTCTGTAAGTAAGGCTTTTCCCTGTTAAATACCCTTGTATTTCTACCTGACTTCATATTGGTAGTTTCCCACTTTAGTGGTACTTTTACACAATGGAATACTACTAAGGCACAAAAAAAAATTACCAATGACATCTTGAAAATCACAGGCAAATGGATGGAACTAGAAGAAACTATCCTGACTCAGGTAACCCAGACATAGAAAGAAAAACATGGTATGTACTCACTCATAAGTGGATATTAGACACAGAGCAAAGGGTAACCAGTGTACAATCCACAAACCTAGAGAAGCTAGGAAATAAGGAATACCCTAAGAGAGACATTCATGGGCCCCTCCCCCCAAGAAGGGGACAGGGATAAGATCTCCTGAGTAAATACGAAGGATGGGGGAAGTGGGGAGGGAGGCAAGAGAAGGGGAGGAGAAAGGAAGAGGGAAGAGTACATGAGGGATCAGGAAGGTTGAGTTAGGGGAAGAACAGGGAAGACAGCAAGAAAAGAGATAACTGAATAGAGGGAGCCATTATGGACTTAACAAGAAACTTGGCACTAGAGAAATCTCCAGGGATCCACAAGGATGACCCAACTAAGAATCTAAACAATAGTGGAGAGGATACCTTAAATGCCCTTCCCCTATAATAAGATTGATGACTATCTTAAGTGCCATCCTAGAGCCTTCAAAACTGATGGAAACATTCACATCTAAGCACTGAGCCAAACTCCTGGAATCTGGTTGTAGAGAGAGAGGAATTATGAGCAAAGGAGTCAAGACCATACTGGGGAAACACACACAAACAACTGACCTGAGCAAGTGGGAGCTCATGGACCCTAGTCTGACAGCAGGGGAACCAGCATACGACTGAATGTGGGTATCACTTGGGGGGCCTGGGAAGACTATGGGGCCTCTGGCAGTAGAACCAGTATTTATGTCTAGAGCAGGAATGGGCTTTTGGAGCCCATTCCCTATGGAGGGATACTCTCTCAGCCTAGATACACAAGGGAGGGCCTAGGTCCTGCCCAAAATGATTCGACAGACTTTGGTGATCACCTATGGGAGGCCTCACTCTTCCTGAGGATTGGATGGAGGGTGGGATGGGTAATTGGAGGGGAGAATTGGGAGAACTGGAGGGAGAGGGAACTGGGATTGATATGTAAAATAAGGTTATATCCAATTTAAATAGAAAAAATGAGATTGTCTTTAAATAAAAATTAAAACTGAAAAATCAAATTTGGTATGTTACTAAACCATAATTAATCTATTTTTTAAATAAAAAATGTATGTACTTAGAAGCCTTCAGCATGTCAACAAAACAGCTGCATTTTTTGCAATTACATAGTGGTATTCAGTTAACAAACAGAAATTATCCTGCTATACGTTGCATCAGAGATAACCAAAGATTAAAACAAAACAAAACACAATAAAACAACAAAAATTGCCATTCCTGTATAGAATTAATTTGTGCTGTGCACCAACAAGAACCTTCTTTAAATTTCCATGCCAAATTATCACCCCTAGACTCTAGCAGACAAGGTTAGTGGCTATTGAAAATACCAGCATAATGGGGCTATATAAAGAAACCATTGGTAGTGTGCTAATTGTCAAAAAGACACTGTACAGTTCAAAACAAATTTTGCACAGCTTTACATTTCAACATTTTTCTTAAAAAACAGGGACATTAAATGCTATATAGACAAAAAAATGCTGTGCTAGAACCAACTTATCATAGTCTTCATCTTTCATTCCTCCTTTTCCTTTTCTCTACTATCCTCCTCATCATCTTTCTTTTCATTCTCTTAATTGCTCTTTTCAGTCTTTACCATCTGCCTAACCCTAACCCTGACCCATGAATTTGGGTGTCAAGGAGGAGGCCTGGGAAATCTATGGGGCCTCTTAAAGTCGATCAGTACTTATCTCTAGCATAGGAGTGGATTTGGGGAGCCTATTTCACTTTGGGTGATACTCCCTCAGCCTAGACACGCGGGGGATTGCCTAGTCCCTATCCCAAAGGATATGAAAGACATTGAAGATCCCCCATGGAAGGTCTTGCTCTGCCTGGGGAGCAGAAATAGTATGGAATAGATAGGGCTTTAGTGGGGGGGCAGAGGAGGAGTGCAGGGGAGAGAACTTGGATTGACATGTAAAACAATCTTTTTTTTCTAATTTAAATTAAAAATGGGGAAAATTTTAAAGGAACAATTAGCGAATTGTGTATACATTAGCAAAATCCTTTTTTTCCCCATGAGAACCAAAGACCTTTTATTGTTAGAACCCAGTAAAAAGTTTGAGAATAGCTCAGTTCGAAAAGTACCTTCAGTCTTCTGGGGACAAGGGACTTTCCTTGCCTCTCTAACAGTGTCCAGACTGAACCTCTAGATGATGTACCAAGTAGGAAAGTCACATTCTCTAAATCAGGACCAAAAAAGGCTGGAGGCTCCTTACTCAGCTCACGAGGCCCAAGTAGTCATCCATCGGAGAGCCAATAGCAAAAATGTCATTCTTATCTACACGTGTCCCCACAATCTTCAAGCGTATCTCGTCATCCTGCTGAATCACAATGTCCTCACCCATTGTCTTGTAGCAAGGTGGGTTGGAGTTTGGATCAAACTCCATCTCTGATGGGATGGAATGTCGAGAGATGAAGCAGGACATGGGCCCAATTTCTGTGAAAAGTCCAACCTTGTTGACCTGAGTGACCACAGCATCCACCACCTCACCTTTAAAGGGCTGGAAAACAATAGCCTTGAACTTAACTGTATGAAGATCAAAACCTTGGCCTGGCTGGATTTCACCTGCACCAATATTGTCGATGGTGGTGACAGCAATTACAAAGTCATACTTCCCCTTGCAGGTCCCCTCCACCTCAGTAAAGAGCTTCTGCTTCACCGTGTTGAGTAAGTTGGGACCGAAGTAGCATGGATGCAGCAGGATCTCGTGCTCCAGGGAAATATGATAAAACATCTTCAGCAGAAGTTGGGGTAGCACAGTCACCACATTAGCAATCTTATATATCGTCTCAATCCTAGCAATAATATCATCACAATTTTGTAATATATACATGTTTTAATTTGCATTATGAAGGATGACTTTTCTTCTGGAGAATGCCAAGATAAGCAGTCTCATATATATTTGTATATAAACATATATTCTAGTAGTTAATGCATAGCTTAAGTGAAATCAGCATTTATCTGATCCCAGAATCCTGTTTAAAACCCTAAAGTACTCATAGGTACAATTAACCTAATGGTCACTTTTGGGTTTGAATTACATTTACAGTTGGGTCTGAAGAGAAAGCCTATGTTAATTTTCTTTGGGGTCCTTATTCAGGGCAGTGTCTTCCGCATGCAGTGGGGTTAAAAACATCAGACAAGTCTACTTGGATCAGTGATGTCTTTAATTAACGAAAAAAAAGGTCATATTACAGCTCAGGAGATGCCAATAGCAGATGCTTAAGCTAATCATTATTGAATTCAATCACTATTAATCACTGAAGTTTCAGAGCGGTTTTCTGTGTTGACAAGAAAGAGGAGGTTTCTGTATAGAGTTCATTGAATTCTTTATTTCCAGTGCCTTGTACAAGGTCATTGCTGCCAATGTTATCCCATGAAAACCATGTATCTTTCATTCTGTGCTCCATGTACTTATGGAGTTTTCACAAGCTTGTTTCAATTGCAGCCTACATTCATTACCTCTGTCTTCACTGATGGACCATTCCCATTTGCCATAAGAAAAATATTCATGGCAATCCCACCAGCAGTGGAGTTAAATATCCATTTCAGCTTGAGTGAGCTGCTTACATTTTTCCAGGGTAATGGCTTCAAAATATTACCAAATTTGGGTGAAGTTGTGAGGAATTTTCTCTTGTCCTTGTTTAGATTTGAAAAAAAGAGCCAGTTAAAATAGTGGTTGAATTTTTTTAAAATAATCCTTACAGTAATGCATGTATTAGTTTGTTCCCATTAAATGTATATGAAAAACCATCAAACAAAAATTGAAGAATTGAAAAGATTTTCATTACTGGTCCAGGTTCAAAAATTGTGCATAATTGAAGAAAGGCAATATTTGAGTTTCAACTTGCTTTAACTGGATTTTGAATTAGGTGACTATTGACCAACAATTATACAATCATTGTACTGACCTCATTTTTTCTCTGTAAGTACACTCTACTCAAGCTTATATTTAATCAGTAAGTTATTGGCTATCAACCTATTAGCCAACACTTTTTTCTCCCTATTATTTCTATTATGGCTATGTATGACAAGTAAATTGAGCAAAAAATTTCAAGACTATCAATAAGTTGCAAGACAATATTGAGATTGCACATGACAAAAAATTAAACACAGAAAGAAATAAAGTTATTTCGTGTTCAAGAACATTAAAAATAATGGAGGACATTAGTCCTAAGAATGAGAAAAAGGATAATAGGAAAGATTTTTAGGTATGATAAAGTGAGTTAAAAGCAAATTTTTGTTCCCACATGACAAATGCTTTTCACATGCATCAGAGTTCAATACTTTAGCAGGCCATTTAAGAGCACTGTAATTCTACCTCAGCTTAGGATTTGTCTCATATGCTTTTATTTTTACAAACTTAGAAGTCCTCTATTTCTAATGTGAGTACATAAACTGCATTTTTTAAGTGCAGTTAGAATCTGAATCATAATATGTACTAGATTATTGAATGAATGTTAGGAAGAGGGTCAAAATTATTTGCTGTTGTTTGCTTAAGTTTTTTGAGAAGGGGTCTCACTAGGTTGCCTGGGAGCCCTGGAACTCACTATCTACACCATCCTTGCCCTGAACTCATAGAGTCCTCCTTTGCTTCCTAAGTGCTGGAATTAAAGGTGTCCTCCAACATGCCATGCCAAGACAACCTTAATGGTATCTTTAGTAACAGATGATGAAAGAAATGAAGGAAATAACACATGGATTTTAACATAGGAGAGTTAATAATGGGAGCTTTTGTCATGCAAACTTTCATTCACAGAAAGCTATCTATATGTGAAAAAAATATATGTCAAAATCAGTGGGAGAAATTTTCATCTGAAAAAATCGAGATAAAGACTATTTTTCCCAATCCATAAGAATGTTATAATTTGAGGAGTATCAAAAAAACAAAAACAAAAACACAGAAATCTTTAAAGAGTGCCTGAACGAAGTTGTAACATGAATACTAGACAACCTAGAGATAGTTATCGGGGTTCAAGCTGAAGATCAGATAAGCAAAGCAGCCAGTCACTAGCTCTTACTTAAACATCAGCGTAAAACTGGTGCTCCTGTCTCCAGAAATACTCAGAATATAATGCTCTCTCTGTCTGGAAACTAAATCTCTTTGCTTCTTCCTTTCAAAGCTCTCTGACGCTGAGATTAAAGGTTTAAGCGCTGTTATTCATTTTTTTTTGACTGATTCACTCTCATGTAGCCCTGGGTGGCTGTGAACTCACACAGATCCATCTGTCTGTCTTCTGAGTCTTGGAGTTAAAGGCGTGTATCACCACTGCCTACTGCCTGACTCTATGGCTGGTGATGGTTTTGCATTTTGATCCCGAGTATTTTATTAGGTCATGAACACTATGTTACCACACACACACACACACACACACACACACACACACACACACACACCCGTAAACCTCAAGGAAGAAAGAAAGTGACACAAAGAGGGCAAAGAATTGCATCAACTGATGAGTGAAGTTAACTATCAATTAGTAAAAGAGTGGGGGCTCTTGCTACTGTAAAAGTTATTTATCCTCAATAAAAGACATCAGCATAAAATAAAGGTGGGGGAATCAGTAACTGCAATGCATTGGTATTGAGTTGATCATTTTCTTATTTTCTTTCCTGTTTTGAGAATCTATTCTGACAGAAGCAACTTAAGGGAAAAAGGAATTTCTTGGTACAAAATCAAGGTTACCATCTATCATGGTAGGAAAGTGACAACAGTAGGAGTGTGCTGCCTAGAGCAGAGAGCAGCGTAGCAATGCATTCTGGTGTGCAGTTCACTTTCTCCAGTCTTATATAACCCTTGACTCTCTGTCTATAGATTGGTGCAACCCATCATGGGTGAAATTTCTCAACTCACTTAACATGACAGATATAATGTCCCCACGTGAGACATGCCCAAATGCTAATCTGACCTAGGCAATTCCTTACTGAGATTCCCTTCCAGGTGATTCTAGAATGTGTCAAGTTGATAATTAAAACTATCCATCACATTGGTAAAATAATAGAGATATTTTCAAAAGATTCAGTGGAAAGTTAGGAGCAACTCAATGACAAGTTTCTTTTTGGTGTGTTTCTTATCTGCAACTTGTACTAATTTTACCCTGAATTAGGAAACTGTTATAATTATTATAGAGTACTCAGCTTACTATTAAGAATATAAGCAATTATTTCCTGTTTTCTCGTTACTAAATTCATACTTCTTACTATTTTTGTTTACCAATCACTTCTTTTGTTTTTTTGGAGCCTCCCTTCTATCAGGGGGCTAGCTCAGCAAGATGCAACTAAGCCTGCTATACTACCCTGGTTCCATTGGCTCCTCAGTTACTAGGGAGATTTTGTTTTGAGATACAGACTCTTCAGGAGGACAATGCTCACATGACCAATTTATTTATGTACAACTTTCAACAACCTCAATTTTAAGAGGTACCGGAATTCATACTAATATTGGATCTGCTGACTTAATCATCTGTGTACCTTCACTGAGTTTTTTGCATATAAAATATGAAGCATCTCCCACTAAATGATGCACGTTTCAGAAACGTTTCTATTTCCTCGGAACACTGTTTTGAGGAGAGAGACCAGACTGCTGGGTACCAATTTTTAAGTCAAAAGGCTTGGATCCTAAGCTCCTGCCTCCCTGGATTCAGGCACATTACACTTAAAGTGATAATTATTTTGCTTGTAATCATAAGATTTTGTTGTTATTATTTTAACATGGGTTATTTTTTTTCAGCTGGAGTTTCCTCACTCCATCAGGTGAACTGATAATGAAGCCCTTCACTGATGTCGTCTCAGAAATGATCAATTTGAATTGAACCAAATTTAGAACCAGATATCCTCTGATGTTCCATAAGTAAGTCTAACTTCTTGCATTGGGTGACAATTCTTTGTGATTTGTTTTTCATAATTCTGCACATCTTGTAAGCAAAGACTATCTTTTTTGCCAAATACTCATTAAGGATGTCTGTATAATAACCACCTTGGAAGTTCATGAATTCTTATAAATCTGCAAGAGAGAATGTCTCTGTTTTTTCCAGGTTCCAAAAGTTAACTAACTCCCTTGGCTGGTGGCCAATGTTCTCCCATTCTTTAAGCCAGAAAAAAGAACATTTTCTGAGGTTCCATCATCCACATGCATGAATAATTTCCTTTTTATGATTATATCAAACCCATCTAGTTAATCTATTGTAAGATCTCCATCTAAAATCTTCCAATTTATCATATCTATAAAAGCTCCTCTGTCATATAACTATTTTACAGTTTCTGGTAATGCAAGAATGGATATTTTTGAAGGGAAGTATTATTCTCCCCTAGGAACTGTGTGTGTGTGTGTGTGTGTGTGTGTGTGTGTGTGTGTGTG